CTATTCAGCAGCCCCATGGAATAACGGTATCAATAGATTGTACAAGATAATCATAGGGCAATTATACTTAAGTGGTGTCATGAAGTATAGTAGACGTAGACAGAATAACGGTATCAATAGGTTGTACAAGATGATCATAAGGCAATTGTACTTAAGTGGTGTCATAAAGTATTGTAGACGCAGACAGGGGTGTGGCTTATAGATAAATATCTCATATAGCTATTTCATAATATAGGATAGTCCGACTGTCCTTCATAGTAGATCAGACCTGTTCTATCCACCGTTTCAATACCAATACTCTACCTGTTTACGATCAACATATGCTCCTCTGGGTTACCATAACGTAACGAGGTAAGCGTATACGTATTTAACTGTAGTATCATATCATATATCAGAAGCATACCTTAGTAGTGTCATAAGTCGATAACTGGATACCCGATCCAACCGCCACTCTTGGGATCGAAGCGGTCACACCCCGCCACAACCCCCGTATGCCATCGGCTGTGTATATGCTCCTAAAAGTATGAGAAGATATAGAAGCGTGTGAATATAACCACACACACACACACATATATATATATGTAAACATATATATATACATACATACATATATATATATATATAATTCCTGTGTAAAGCTGATTTTCGATGAGGTATTGAAGCTATTTGAGTATTTTCGTTGCGTATATGCTCCTACCCGAATGGGAAGATGCAGAAGCGTATGAATATAACCACATTTATAAATACCATTCCTGAAATGTTTTGATGCCTGCAGATATCTATATATGTACACAAGTACTTGCTACACACCCCCAGAATTCAGCTGCATCGATCGCTTCCAGCACAGTATATGGTGTGCCATGCTGAAATTGATGCAAGCGGCTCTTCTGATGCGAGATACAAGCATGTGTACTCTAATGTGTGTGGTAAAAAAAGGGTTCTTTCACACATGTGCATTTACGCATACAATTCGACATTTCTAATTAAAACCCTGAATCGGCTTGATGCAAGCCAATAATAGCCAAATATGGCCTAAGCTCCCTTAGTATCATGATAGTAGACGCTGCTTTCAAACAATCAGGTTCACCCACTGTGTATACCTGAAGCAGTCCAGGGTATGCTTGTAGTGGTACTTGCCAGAGCTCTTCGCTTGCATCCTAGTCTGTATAGCAACCCACCAGTGTGCAGAGGTAAAGGTTCAATAATATTTGTTCCGGCCAAGCACAGGCATCAGTGTCGATTCGAACCAATATCTATGCACATCAATCTGACATACAAAGATGTATGTAAGTGTATACATATCGAATATCGGATCGAGAGCGGAATCGCCTGGAGAACGTACTTCAACGAGTGTGAAGACATGCACATCGACTACACATGCGTAGTCATACATACCTTAGCGAGATATAGTGGCGAGCCAATGGCGGCTCCGATGGCACCCGCTGAGCTGCCAGCAAGCACTCGACATCCCAGTACGTGCTGTCAGAAACAACAGAACACATCATATGAAGACATGCGCTGCGTTGCTATGCTATGTATTTTGTGCTTTGCGTTGCTATGTTATGTATTTGGTCATTGATTATCGCTCACAAAGTCGATGCGAGGTGATTCTATTCTTTAGTACAATGGGGGTATGTAAGGTGAGTGTACAAAATAGAGATTATATCGTTTTGAAACGGCGGCTTCGTTGAGCCACATCATCGGTAGAGCTCTACAGGCGTAAGGGCTGCTAGCACTGTGAAGAATGCATATTATCTCATTCTTGTGTAAGCGTTAGCAGGATATTGAAGGCGTGACAGACGAAGAAATCGAATAGATAGTGAAGGACGTAATCATTCCACTCGAGAATTCGACATACTTGTAACGCTGGCATACTACTGCAGAGAGTGTGCCTATTTAGATACCATTGAGCATATGATTTATGTACCCTCGCGATACTATCCACGCGTTTGGTATAGAGATACGAATTTAACACTTCAGCAATACTCCACACGTACCTATTGATAAATAAATAAAATAATCTAATTGTAATAATATAATTGTGCATAGTATTCCATACGTACAAACGTGTCGTTCTCGTCAACAACGTGTAGTTCCTCATACCTCTCCATGTACGTCCAGTTCGTTTAGTTTGCTTTTAATGGGCTCAAACAGGCCCAGTCTAGCTCCATTCATAACGGCTGATCGACGATAGGCAAATGAAGACATATAAAGGGACGGTGAGTACAGCGACGTGTGCACGCTTATTTGAAACTTCGTGATCCCTTTTTGAAACGCATACGATACACTGTAGCAGCCCAAGCAGGACGGTGTCATAGCTTTCACCATGTATAATAGACACTCGCATGTCTATGATTAGTATTATTATTATTACAAATAGTATTACTACAATTATTACATATATATA